ACTTTGGTTGTATAGTTCTTCAGTTAGTTTTTAGTGAGTGGTTCTGTGAGTGCTGTTCCACATGTAGATGTATTATTGATGTGTTCATGGGGGGGAGGTGAGCTCCTAGGTGTCCTCCTATTCTACCATCTTGATCTAAATCCTTGTTTCTGATATTAGTAATCATGTCTTTTTTTTTTATGGGTTAGCATAGAAGTTTTATCAATTTTCTCAAGGACTCAGCTTTTGTTTTCTGTTGATTTCTTGCTTTTAATTTCAATGATTTCTGCTCTAGTATTTCTTTCAGCTTCCTTTAGACCTAATTTGCTTTTTCTAGTTCCCTGAAGTAGAAGCTTATTGATATCAGTTCTTTTTAAATAGATTCATGAGTGAAGTCGCTCAGTTGTGTCCGACTCTTTGCGACCCCATGGACTGTAGCTTACCGGGCTCCTCCATCCATGGGATTTTCCAGGCAAGAGGACTGGAGTGGGTTGCCATTTCCTTCTCCAGAGGATCTTCCCCACCCAGGGATCGAACCCAGGTCTCCCACATTGTAGGCAGACGCTTTACCCTCGGAGCCACCAGGGAAGTCCTAAATAGATGCATTCAATGCTATAAATGTCCCTCTAAGGACTGCTTTTGCTGCCTCCCACACATTGTGATGTTTTATTTTCCTTTAGCTCAAAAATATTTTTCTTGAGACTTCTTTGTTCTATGTGTCATTTAGAAGTGTATTGCTTGGAACGTCCCTTTTGGTCTAGTGGTTAAGACTCTGTGCTCCCAGTTCAGAGGGCATGGGTTTGATCCTTGGTTGGGGAACTAAGATCCTACATGGCACACGGCACAGCCAAAAACAAAAACCAGTCTGTTGTTTAATCTCCAATAATTTGGGACTTTCCAGCTATCTTCCTGTTGATTTTTCTAGATTAATTCTACCATAGTCTGAGAACATCCTTAGAATGATTTCTATTCTTTTAAATTTAAAGTATGTTTCATGGCCCAGAAAGTAGTCTGTCTTGGTGAATGTTCCATGTAAGCCTGAAGAATGTGTGTATTCTGCTGTTGTTAGGTGGAAGCATAACTGTCAGTGAGATCCTGTCATTGATGGCACTGTTCAACTATGCCTGTGTACTCAATAGGGAATTTGTGTCTTTCTCATGGTTGTTTTTGCCTCACGTATTTGATGCTTTGCGGTTAGGTGCGTACACATTAGTCCTATCTTCTTGCAGAACTGACCTCTTTATCATTATGTAGTGCCTTTGTCCTTGGTAATTTTCCTTGCTCTTGTCTGCTGTGTTTGAAAGAGCTATCCTTCGATTAGTGTTACGATGGTATCTTCCTGTACACCTTTACTTCTAAAGGTGTACACCTTACCTCTATCTGCAGGAAACCCATTTTAAATAATAAAGACAACCTATCGTTGGGTCTTGGTTTTTAACCCACTGTTACTTAGAATATTATCTGAAGTGATTACTGACATAGTTTTCTACCACATTTGCTAGTTTTCTAACCATTACCTTGGTTCTCTGTTCCTATTTTTGTCTTTCACTCTTCTTAGGAAGGGCAGAGGGAGATTAACTATGGAAAGAAGGGTACTTCAGGATTTTGAGCATCCTGAGTTGACTTATAGTGGGCATTTGTATTTCTTTGGCTGCTTCCAATTTTGGGGAAATTCCCTATTGAATGCATTTTTGTGGGCATGAATGTACTATTTTCCTTTGTAGATGCTAAAATGAGCCATCCTCTTTACCATTCTTTTGCATCTAGTATTTGGGATGATGACCTCGGCTTGGCCAAATGGGCACTCCCAGGCATGCCTGTGAGTCTTGATGAAGTGACAAAGCAATTCAAATTTAACCACAGAAGTGGGCTAGTGGCATTGATCTGCAGCAACTTAAAGATGTTTAAGGAAAGCAGAGTCTTGTAGAAACTCTTGCTTGACTTGAACCTGAGCTCAAATCTTTGGTATTGTGACTTCAACTAAATGTCTTCTAAAAACTGTACCAAAGATGATAAAAATTTACAAAAAGAGAAATTTAGAGATGAATCCTAGCACTAACTTGCTACCTTGGGCAAGTCCCTTCCTCTCTCTGTTGTCTTCATCTTTTATGTACATTACTACACAGTCCCACTTTAAAAGTACTAGCTCATAGATGCTGGTAAGTGAATTTAATCAAACTTAGGGTCTTCCTTTTTTAGCTTCCCAAGGTCTTTCTTCCACTGGAGGGATGGGTTTCAGTGGGAGGGGAGGGTCAGCATTACCCAACTTCAGTCTTGAATGTTATTGCTACCCTCTGGCTCAGTTTGCTGTCTAGGGGAAACAATGCAGTGTAGAGTTGTATTTAGATGACTTTTATTGACTGCACTAAGAGGTTTGTGGAATCCTAGCTTCCTGACCAGGGATTGAACTCACGTTCCTGGTGGTGAAAGCAGAGTCCTAACCACTGGATCGCCACGGAATTCCCTAGAAAATGTTTTCTAAGGGGCAGCAGGAGAGTCAGTTTGCAGTGATTTACTAAAGAGTCAGTGAACACTGATTAGCCCACAGAAGACTCAATACCAATCCCATCACGGGCCAAGCCTTATGATCCCAGTCTCAAGCAGTGTGTATGTTCTGCGAGAAGGGAGGCCCTCCTTGTCTTGTTCACATTCTATTCTCAGTGCTTTAAAACAGAGCTTGGTCCACAGACGCTACCAATGTTAACCTAGCAGTTGTTGAGGTGGGTGGATATCATGACAAAGTTCATTAAATTACATGAACACAACATAAATGTTTAAAAATGAATATGAACAATGATAATTTGGGAAGAAAGTTGTTAAGAGATTGTAAAATTAAGAGTAAATTTTAAAAAATTAGGCTTAAAAAATTTTAAACTTGGAGGAAACAACCCCTCAGATGTTCACAACCTTCAGTTCAGTTCAGTTCAATTCAGTCACTCAGTTGTGTCCGACTCTTTGTGACTCCATGAACCGCAGCACACCAGGCCTCCCTCTCCATCACCAACTCCTGGGGTCCACCCAAACCCATGTCCATCAAGTCGATGATGCCATCTAGCCATCTCATCCTGTCATCCCCTTCTCCTCCTGCCCCCAATCTTTCCCAGCATCAGGGTCTTTTCCAATGAGTCACAACTTTACAGGGATAAAATTAAGGAATGTTGAATCCTTGTCATCTACTGGAGACGGAGTTGGACATGACTTAGCGACTTAACAACTGGAGACCAACCTGAGATCTGAGGCACTGGGATGTCTACTGGCGGGAGTTGTCATGTTGTCAGGATTGCAGGGAAAGCTCTCAGGTCCACCTTCCAGCAGCACAGCTCTGCAACCTGCCTTCTCTATTGAAGTATCTTCTATGTTCCCCAAAAGCTGAATTCCTCCTCCAGAAATTTAAAAGTCCTCTGACCTGATCTACTTTGACAAACCTCCTTCTCTTATTTCCCATGATAGAAGTCCACACTCTTGAGTGCCCCACCCAATGCTTTCCCAGCTCCATGGCTTTGTTCACAGCCATTTCCTTCAATAAGGCCACCTGCTGTCTCCTAGTGTTCAGCCTAAGTGCTGTCTCTGAACCTAGGCGAAGTTCCAACTCCCTTCTCCTAGTGCCCGCTTTAATCCTAATGGTATTCACCATTTGCAACCAAACTCCAGGCGGGCAAGAAACACTGATTGGGTCTTCCCTGGGAGTTGTACAGGGCATGGGCTATACAAGGCCCAGGACAGTATTTTAGGTCTAGGAACAGCCCCCAGTACCTGCCCAGGCAGCAGTCTGCAAAGTGGCCTCTCTCCTCCCAAGCTCGCTGCAGAGTCACACAGGCCCTCTGGTTTCCCTCCGGCTTGGACTGATGCCTTTCTACAGCCCCTCAAGGGTGGAGGCCAGACCAGAACCACTGTTATCTCTGGAACCTCCTCTAGAGGTGGGTCAGACAAGCGATGCAGAGGACAAGTGGGACACGGCTCCTGAATAAGGTTTTTCTTCTGGTTTTGATTAATCCCATTTCTAAGACAAGGAGGTACCACACACTTCAAATGGATCATGCAAGACCCTCAACAAACAGCACAGAAGAGACAACTTTGTTCAAGAGCTCATCCAGGGATGCCGAGTTGCCTAACTGATTCACTTCTCATCAGCTTGGCTCTAAGTGTTTTGAGAGGAAGGAATTATAAATTTCCAGGAAACTTGACCATATTCTGTTGGGTGAGAAAAATCCTTCAGGCAAAGTGTTGGCTTCCTACCCATGCGTGATCTCAAGAAACAAAACAGCAATTATACCATGAACTTTTTATGCTAAGAAAGAAAGATAACAAGATAGATCAGGAAATGCAACTTCAATTCAAGCACCATGAAATTTTGTCAAGCAAAAATAGTCTTTATTCAAATTTAATGGAAACAGGGGTCACTATACTTTGCAAGACGGGGAAAAATAAAATTAAAAAAAATTCTTTTCTTTTCTTTTTTTAATATAAAACAATATAATCACAATACCAGAATATGGAACTCTACAGTTTATTTCCTATGGGTTACTGCAGGTATCAATTTTCCTTGACTGTGCTTGCTATTCACAACTTTGTTAAGTCCAAAAATATGAAACCAAAGTGGTAGGAAACTTAAGACTTAGCACTTTCACTAAATGGCGTACATCAAAGGGCATCAATTCAAGGGCAAAATGGCTGAACTCACCATACCTACCTATGACCTCATTCCAGCCTTAAAGCCAGCCAGGTTCTGAGCTCCCTGTAGGAAAGGCCAGGCCTGAAAGCCAAGGCATTTTGGATATTCTACCGTGGGCCATGAGTAAAAGGGGTTTTCAAAGAGAAGATTGTTTTCAGTCGAGCAGGAAGGACTGGCCCCAGGAGGCTTTATGGAGAGGAAGCACTTAGATTTAACAATTGTAGACACACCATTAGGGGAGTTAAAAATGTACAGTAGTGATGTATGTTCTACTCCAACCACTTGTGCTACGGCTACCAAACATGTACAAAAAGACGTCTCGGGGAGTTCCAGCTGTGGCCGCGGCCAGTTAGGACCTCGAGTGAGACCTGGATCTAGACCGGGAGGGCGATCTGGATCCAGACCTGGACCGAGACTTGGACCGAGACCGGGTTTTTGAGGCGGACTTTGATCTGGAGCGTGATTCTGACGGAAGGTTTGGTTTCGATTTGGAATTGGACCTCGACCTGGACCGGGTCTCCTGATTGGCGCCGGCATCCTCACCCTCCCCTCGGCCTTCCCTCTGGCCAGACTCGGACTTGGCGCGTTCCCGCTCCTTGGAGCCCGAGCGGGAACGTGACCTGGACTGCGAGCGGTCAGCGTCTTCCTTCTTCTTCTTCTTGCTGCTGCTGCTGCTCCCGCCGCCGCTGCCTGACTTGCTGTCTCGCTTGCCGCTCCGTTTCCGGCTCCTCTCGCTCTTGCTGCGGCTCCGGCTCCGGCTGCGGCTCTCCTCCCGGCTCCTCTTCCTCCCCTTCCTCTTGTCCTTGCTTTTACTGCGGCTCCGGCTGCGGCTGCCCCCCTGGCTCCGGCTGCGGCTCTTGCGCAGGCTCTTCTCCTTGCTTCGGCTCCTGCTCGCGCTGCCCCGCGCCTCCTCCGCACCCCTCTCCTGACTGCGGCTGCGGCTCTTGCTCTTGTGCCGGCTGGGGCTGCGGCTCTTGGACTTGCCGGCGCGGTCACTGTTCTGCACCTTCTCCTCCGCCGGGTCTTTACTCTTGCTGCGGCGCTTGTCGGCGCTGCGGCTGCGGCTGCGGCTCTTATCCTTGCTGGGGCTGCGGCTCTTCTCCTTCTTGCTGCGGCTGCGACTCTGGCTGCGGCTTCGGCTCTTGCTCCGGGAACGGGAGCCTGACCTGGGGAGACACGGGGACAGGGACGCTGAGTGGGACTTCAAACCTCAGGCCCCGTCAGTGGAGACGGACTACAGCTATCCGTGGAGCTCTGCCCCACAAGGGAAGGCCCGGCTTGCTCTGGCCCAGGACTGCCTTCCGAACCCCCACGATTGCAGTCCTAGAGCTAAGAAAACTGGGATGAGGGGAGGCGGGGAACACAGTCAGCATCAGAGCGGGACGAGAAGCGGGTGGGCCCCACATGGACCCCAGGAACACCTACCTCGACCGGGACCTGCTCTTAGAGTGACTGCTCTTGCTGCTGCCGCTCCGGCTCCTGCTCTTCCGAGAATGTCTGCTCCGAGAGCGAGACCTAGGGGAGCAAATGTGTATTTTTAATACTTGCTGACAAAACACTCAGTGAAAAGTCAATTAAGACATCTTTTTAACACGCATGACCCTGGCGGTTTCCAGACACAAAGTTGAAACCGAACTCTCTCCCAGGATCTGGGCCCAGAGATAAGTCACCTGCAAAAACACTCCTCTAATCCCGAACCCCCGGCTCCCCCACACCTGCTGTTTTGCTGGGTTTCTTCCTTATTCCCACCAGAGGCCACTGTGCTTCACCAGCTCCTGGCACCAGAAACCACAGCCACCCCGGACTTGCCTCCCTCCCTCCTCCTCTTCTGCACTGACGACTCTCCTCTTAACCTTCTCTACTTAACTACCTCGGCCGCCCCTGACCCTACCCAAGCCACCACCACTCCCTGCTACCACACAGACCCCTAACTGGCCTTCCTGCATACTCTCTGCCTTTCACTTAGTCACGCAATTCACTGAGACCAGAGAGCTGTTTTTAAAAAAACACAGCTGCCTCTTGAAGAACCTGAGTTTGAACTGCATGGGTCTGCTTACATATGGGGTTTTCTTCAACAGGTATGGCCTGCAATACTATATAATATACAGGTATGGTCTGTGGTTGGTTGAATCCATGGGTGTGGGAACTCTGCATATGAATGGCTGGCGCCCCAACCCCCACTTGTTCAAGGGTCAACTGTACACTTCAAGTTTAAAAAACCTTTAGTACCAAGACTGTAGACTATTGTTCCCTACCAAAAGCAACCAGGGTTCCTTGGGGAAAATGACCAGTTCTTTTGCAGGAAAAGCAAAGATGGGACATATCACCGTGACAGAAAGTGACTTTCAAAGATTTTTGAACGCTATGATCTATGAAAGAACTGCCCAAAATGCTTAATCTGCATCTCAATCACACCCCTCTAGACTTAACTTCCAATTTATGGAAGTTCAGGAAATGAAGTGTAAGTTCAACAATACAAAGAAAAACATAAATTCAGAATATGGGGCAGTAGTAAAAAAAAAACAGACTAAGAAAAGTAAATGTCATGGGGTGGAAGAGGGGATTGATACAGGCAGACTACCGCAGACTGAAGATACGCAACAATTCCTTGCAACACACGACTGGATGGATCCTGGCCAGGAGAAAACAGAGCTCTAAGGATATCAATGAACAACTGGGGAAATCTGAATACAGCCTGGACATTAGATGACTTTATGGAATCACCATTAATGTCATTAGGTTAGAAAATGTAAGTGTGGTTCATCTCATTCTTGGAGACACATTATTAAGTAGTTAGGGGTGAAGTGTTAATTTCTACAACTTCTCTTTAAATGGTACAGCAAAATAAATGCATGGGGTGTGTCTACAACCAGAGAAAGGCAAACTTTCAGTACTGCTGAAGCTACAAGGAGGGCACGAATGCTCATGAACTATTCTGTCAACATTTAATGTTTAAAAATGCTGTAATGAAAAATCTGGGTAAATATTTAGTAAAGCGCATTTACACAGAAATCAAACAAAACCAAAAAAGACACCGAAGCCAACCTGAAGGGCTCCTGATGACCAAAGACAGAATAATTTGAGCATAAAAAAATGACTGCAATGCATCAAACACTAAATATATAAAGATCCAAGAATTTATTCAAAATGATGCTAAACAAGCAATTTCATCACCACTTTTGGGTGTTGCTGGGCACATTCAATGTTCTGGAAATTGGTAAATAAATGTATCAACTTTTATTTTCCTTTTCTTATACAAATTTTTTGTTAGGGTGGTAGGAAAAGGATGCAAAAGGGAAATCATCCCTCACAGAAATAATGCCTTTAAATGCACAAAGAATGAGAAAATTAAAAAGTCACCATGCTACAACTGCTACTGAATGGTGTGAGGCGATGATTATCAGCAAACATTGACACTGTGAGGTGGACTGCTGCAGAACTGTATAATGGGCGGCTCACACCGACAAATGTTATCATCATTCAAAGTGACACATCCAGACCCCACACAAGGGACGCAACAGGAAGTACAAAGCACCTGTTAAAATCCTGGCCTCACTCTAAGCGACCTCAGGATCGAACTACAGCATTACGGGAAACATGCAGGATGAGATAAAGGGATGTGTCTACCACCACCAGAAAAATACAACCTGAAAACTTTCAAACTGTGGAAAATCTTCAAAACAGAACACTGTTTCTTCCACAACTAAATGCATGGAGAATAAGGAGGGTGAAGAAGGAGATAGTTGTGATTTAAAGAACTGAGACACATGTCATTTGACTGCCATGTGTAGACCTACTGGGATTCTAATATGAACCAACTACAAATATACACATGTATTTGAGGCAACTGGGGAAAGTTGAATACAAATGTGTTGTAGTGATGTGGCTTCATGATTTTATTTAAAAGGTTAGATACCCACTGAAGTATTTATAGATGGATTGACAGGATGTCTAGACTTGCCTTCAAACAGTGTAGGATGGAGTGATGAAGCAAGACTGGCAAAATAAAAAAGTACTGAAGCTGGATGGGCAATAAGTATAAGGGGGCTGAGGTTCATATTTTCTCTAATGCTTTATATATTTAATATTTTCCATAATGAAAAGTTAATAAACAAAATAACAAAACCTGGAAAGCTTAGATTAATGCCTTCCCACTGCTCTTAACCCTCAACCTGGCCTGTGGCTCAGCAGGAACTGGCTCTTTGCTGTCTCATAGCAAGCTGCTCTCCTCTGCTTTGCCCGTTCCCCCAACAGGGCCTTCAAAACACATTATCTTCTCTGCTAAAAAGGCATTATCCCCTCTCTTTGCCCATCATGTCCAACACGACCTTCAGGGCTCAGTTTCTATGACATGTCCTCAGGGAAGCCTCTGGCAGTTCTTCAGAGTTGGGCTGTATACTTTTCCTTTAACATACTGAGCACGATGGTAATTATTTGCTCAATGCCCGTCAACCCCACTAGACTGAGTTTCAAGAGCATGGACTGTATCCATCTGGTCCATCTGCAGAGCAGCTGTTGAATAAGACACAGCCTCCGTTCCTGAGCAGCTGGAGTATCTGGGAGAGTAACCAATGGGCCAGTGGTCATGCTGCCCCCAGTAATGGTATAATCTAGGGGACCCAGAATAAATGTGAAAGGAGGTCACTGATACCTGCCTCAGAGAAAGGACTTTACTTCTATTTGTACTCATGACAAAAGTGTTCAAGAGTTTTACAAACAAATGTTCAGGTCAAAGTTCTGAGTTACTGAACCAGAATAGAACCACAGTACTGAAGACTTCCACAGGACAATGAAAATGGATTATCTATGTGCTCTTTGGGGCTTCCCAGATGGGTCAATGTTAAAGAATCCACTTGCAATGCAGGAGATTCAAGTTTGACCCCTAGGTTGGGAGGATCCCTTGGAGAAGGAAATGGCAACCCACTCCATTATTCTTGCCTAGAAAATCCCATGGACAGAGGAGTCTTGTGGGCTACAGTCCATGGGGTCACAAAGAGCAAAGAGTGGGACACGACTTAGCGACTGAACAACACGTGTTCATTGATGAATTTACAGCAAGCTGAAACACTTGGAGACATCAACAGTACCTTGAGTGACTCCGACTCCTGGAGTAGGACCTGCGTCTTCTGGAGCCAGGCTTGTCTTCAACTAATCTGATTTTTCTGCCATTGACTTCTGTTCCATCTAACTTTTCCAAAGCTCTTTTCATATCAGAGTAAGACACAAATTCAATCACCCCTTCATTTTTGCGTCCCTTGTGGGCATCTGCATAAGTCACTTCTCCTGCCTGACGCATATAATCCTAAGAAAAACAAAATCCCGGAATAGGTTAAGACACATTTTATGAAAATACCTAACACAATCATCACCATCAAAGTTTTCCCTTGCCTTTAGGAAGAAATGTCAGGTTTCTCAGAATGAAGTCGACCTTAAGTATTTCCAGCTACACACCAACTATTTACTGAGGTTCTTTAAAGCATCAGACATTAGGTGGGTAGTAGAGATAACAAATATTTAACTGTTCCTTTAAACTGTTTTTGTTTGAATATAAGTTTTTGAATTTACTGAATATAAAATTGAATATAAAATTTTTTAGTTAACAATCATTTCCCAATTTTTTTAGTGGTAGGTTCTCTGATTATAGAAGCTTTAGAAACTCAAGTTACTACATGTAAGTCAAGTCTTTTACATTTCATTATAAATTCTTATTGAAGACATGTATAGTTGTTGATAAATATCTAAGGTAAAATGTAAGCAGAATCATAATGGATCAGTAAAGACAAAAAGACAACAGAACAGTGCTGTCCACCCCTGGCTTCTGTAATGACTACTGTAAGGCTCTTTGCTCATTCTCTTTGAGGACTTCATATAATCCAATTGGTTGGCTGAGACAATACGACCAACATGCCAGATGAACACAGGAGATGTGATTAGTGTTTAAAAAGAAAACGAAATCTGGATAAATTTAAAACTTAGGGTCTTGTGGCCAATTTCCCCATGTTTGTTTATACATATTATACACCCCAAAATAAGTATCTGTGGAATGAATACATAAATATCCCATAGCAATTCATTTTGTTACTGCTTTCCTCTCCATATTTTACAAAGTTACCGACACTGAATATATGCTGTTTGATACTATTCCTTTGCTCATGGTGTCATAAAACGTATACATGTCTTAACATAAGCTACATTCTTCATAATTAGTGTGTCCAATACTTCCTAACTGTTGGGACTTTTAGGTTTTAGTGGTAGTCTTTTGCTACTATTCATAATCTAGCAATGAACATCTTCATACAAAAATTTTTTTACTTCAACTGAATTATTTGCAGGAGTGGCGATTCTGGGCAAAAGGCACAAGGCCCATAATTCAATGATTTATCATCCAAACTGGGATACATCTTAAAGAGTAAGGAAAATGTTAAGTTATGCCACACCTGGGACTATCCTGGGCAAGCTGAGATACTGACATACTTCCAAGTTGTTAATAAAAGCTCCTAACATATTGAATGTTCATTGTTTGATAAGCAGGATTTAATTAACGCAGTCCTATATACAGTCACATGAGGTAGATACAATCATTACTCTCATTTTACAGGAAAATGAAATACAAGAGGTATTAAGCAGACTGTTCAAGGTCTTAATATTAAGCGAAGGAGCTGGGATCTGAACATAACAGCCAGACTTCAGAACATAAATTCTTAGTACCACCCACTCTGTGGGTGAAACGACCAATGTTCATCTCAACACCACCACTGGGTAGCATGCCTTTACACATTTTAAAAAGTGACAGTATTCCTTTCGCTTATTTTATTTTGCATTTTCTTGGTTAATAACTAGCATTTATTATGCCTGGAACCATTCCAATTTTTCATATAAAAATGCATTAGTTCTTTGTCACAACAGACATGAATATTAATCCTACTTTATAGTTCAGGAGTGTGAGGCACAAGAGGAAAGTAAATTGCTCGAGTAAAATAGCCGCCAAGTGGCAGAGCTGGGATTCCATCCAGGCAGGTGGGCTTGAGTCCTGCTCTGAAGGCTCCCTTGACTTCCTAGGAAATCAGCTCAGCTGCTCTCCTCTCCTGAGTTAAATTGCCAAGCGCATGGAAGCAGAATACCAATTTCGGATGTTGGCTAGGCTCCATTTTAACCCCAAATGTGAAAGTCTTTCTAGTTTTAATTCATAATGTTCAATCCTTAATTCTCAGAATACTGGAGTCATTTCTTTGGGGAACACAATCTTGCTGGCAGACACTCAGTAAGGGCCTGCTGTAATACTGACAACCAACAGTGTGCTAGAAAAAAATACCAGCATATGTTTTAATCCCAGCTCTTCTGCTAAGACCAACTGTGAACTAACATTTCCTGTATCTCATCTTTGTTAGCTAAAGGCTGTTGAGAGCAATTAAAAAAAGAAAGAAAGAAAGAAAGAAAAGATGTGAAAGCACTTTGATAAGTTAAGATTACTTGAATGTGAAGGATTCCTAACTTTGTTTTGCTAACCCTAAGTATACTCACTCATTTTGCTAGCGATGACTTGTTTAATAAGAAGTGAGATAGGAAACTCCAATCGTCCTTTACATTTGCCCTCCTAAAACCATTCAGATTAAGACACTACTAAATAAGGTTTTTTCCCTTTTGAGATTAAAACTTTTTCGGGACAGGGAATTCCCTGGCTGTCCAGTGGTTAAGACTCAGCGCTTTCACTGTTGTGGGCCTAGGTTCAATCCTCAGCAGGAATAGGGGAATTAAGATCCCACAAGCCCCGTGGCCAAAAAAAGTAATAACAATAAACAAATTCGATGAAAAACAAATAAAACTTAGAAAAGGACATGGGTCAGATAGTTATTTTCACCAGTGAGGCTCTACGTTGGAAGCTGACACAAACTTGCATATTACAACTAATATTGCAGGAAACACAGTTAGTTGTAATTTTTTCTTTTATTGGGGCAAAACTACACTGTGATCTCTCTGTAACATTCTCTACACTTGATCTTAGCCAAAAGGCCGAGAAGCGATCTGTAACATTCTCCACAGAGAAAACTTCATATAATATAGGTTGTCCCTGGCATGCCGGTCTTGTAACATACAGGATAGTGAGATTCTGACTGTGTTCCTGTGGAAACTTTAATCGGAAAATTTTCAGATACTTTGGGAAAGCTTTCTCGGTGTGCCTGGGCCTGTATAAAATGAACCTCTTTCCCAACCTTAACTCCTGCCCAACTGCATCCCACAAGATTAACAGGGCCCAAACCTTTAGGTCTTGCCAGCTGCACCGACTTGATAAATTCTCCACAATAAGTCTGTATTCTGTGCGGGTAGGAGGGCCGTATTTATCTCGGCCACTTCTTCTATAACCATATCCACCTTTGGAAGGTTCAAATAGATGAGATTACTTCAGTGGAGGAAAAAGAAAAAAACAACACAGCACACATTCCCCTTATTAAATATACCATCTACCCCCACCCCAAAGAGTATATATATTTTAACTCTATCCCCACCCTTAATTCTAATCTAGATTAAAATAAGCAATCAGCTAACACGAAAATTTAATTTAATTTACAAAGTTGTAAGTATATATATTCATTAATACTTATATTTAAAAATAACATGCATAAATTACAAACTATTAACAATTTAGAAATAAGTAACCAAATTACTAAATCGGTTACTGGTGTTACTCACAGCGATTAAAGTTTTTGTGAATATTTTATATGGAAAAAAAAAGTGTTCAGGCACCTATTTCAGTTTAATCTCATCTGTGTCTAACCCTTGGGATCCTCACCACCCAGGTCTAATGGGGAAAGGTTGCGGTCGTCACATGGCTTCCTGTTTTTGGTCGGCCAAGGGCCACAATGGTTCAAAGAGCCACACATGGAAAGGTAACCCAAGGTCAGCAAATGGACAGGCAGTCATCTTAGCCTCAAAGGATTCTTTTAATTAAAACATTGAGGTCTTTGTTAAATCTATGTTAAACAATTGCATTACAGAGAAAAAAAAACAACAACACAAACACACATCATTAAACATATTTATAAAGTATTAAAACAAGAAATTTATGTCATTAATTTAATTAAAATTAAACATTATTAAAGATGTTTATTTGCAATTTTACATTTAAAAAGATACATCATTTATAAAACAAATGGCTTAATAATCAATACATTTCAATGTAACATAAATTAATCAATTAATTAATTTAAAAATTAACATTTAATAACAGAGGCATGTCACCGATACAAATGCCCTTTAAATGCTTACTGCGTCCAGAACCGTAACTGCCATCTCGTCGTGGGCCTCGGGCATGCTCAACAATTACTCGCTCACCACAAAGGTCTTTGCCATTCAGTTCATAAACAGCATCATCTGCATCTCGCAGATCATCAAACTCCACAAACCCATATCTAGAAAAGAGCAAACAAAATCCTGGTTGGTACCATTCCGACACTCAGTTTCACTAACATTAAAGAGAAAGCACTGAGGCTCATGCTTAGCAAAGGTCAGGCAGGTCTGGCAGACTACGGCTCGGCTTTCTCTTCCCTTTAGCTGAAACCATTCAGTTCTGTGTCCATGGGCACTGCAAAAGGGCAGGGAGATTTCTCAAGGTTGACTCCTGTATTTCTAGTCGGAGGCTGGCTAATATACAGAGATCATTTCTTCTGTTCCCCAAGTAGCTGGTGGCAAATGCAAAGACCTCCACAGGGATGCTTGGTATAAGGTGTTAAAATATGTAATCCTACAAGATTGAATATCTGCTCTTTCAAATCATGTAAAAACTCATCTTTTTTAGCTTTAGCCTCAAAGTAGTACCTTAGAGAATAGTTAGACCTACATTTAGGCACTGTGTCTTAACTGTTAGATCATGTTTGTAGTAATAAGCCAAGTTATAAAAAAAGCACTGTAATTCTCCTCAGTGAAAGAAAAAAGCTTTTAAAGTCCCCTTTTCTCTACCTAAACAAGTCACAGGTGAATTGACTATTCTAAATACTACCAATGAAAAAAATCTGGAGCTGTTCTCTTCTTCATGATATTACAAATTCATTTCATTTCTGAGCTTTACAGGTAGGCTAAAATTCTCTAAAATCTATATACAACTGTGCAAACTTCTTTTACATAGTACTGCTAGGAATTTCCCAGCAACAAACAGGTTTGGTGGTTTAACACAGATCCAAAAGAAAACAACCCCCTATCCCAATCCTATTAATGCCCGTTGAAGGGAAAAACTTATAAAACCAAAATGCAAAATTTGTAAGATATTTAGAAGCAAGGTCAAACAAACGCCCTATAAACTACATTATCAATAAACTTAAGTTTGGTCTGATGTGGCTGTGAAAAGTCTAGCTTTGTAAGAACTGCCTATACTGAAAAACCAAAACCATCTTAATCATACAAGTTACAATCAACACCTTTAAACTTTTAACAGAGCTATGTGCACAGACACTGACTGGTGTTCCTCTGGGTTTAAACCTAGTGAAAATAAAAACAAGTTGTAAGACTTGCCAGAAGTTCATCCAGCCTGACCAAATTATTCCACTTTCTTAAGCAGGTAATGCTGTACTCAGCAACATGTTAAGAGAACCAAAACTGAGGAAGTCTTCCTCTACTAAAGAGTCTCTCAAGGTGACAATGTACAGCTAAAAACTTTTGTTATGCTGAAATGTCTGTGAGTGGCATTCAAACCTCAAGAGCCACTGAAGCTCAATTCCATTAAAGAAAAGTAACACAAAAACACCCAGAGTTTAATGGGAAATGTTCTGCAGTAACAGAATTCAGAAAACACCTGGCTCAACTTACGGATTATGAAGACTTTAAAACATGGTTTCACACTTCCTTAAGCTGGAATTGCCAAGCAGCTTAGTAAGAAAGATTTTGACCATGACTGTCATAGTGGATACAGCAAGTAAAACCTCTCCAAATCAGTAACTTACTATGTTAAAAAGTGCTTTATGATCATAAAAAATATCTAACAGATAAAATACACTGCAGCTAGCTGCCTTTTCCCAAGTAGAGTGGGTCTTCAGGAAAGCTACACTATCACTCTTAGAGACAAAATTAAAGAGCTAATTAAAAAATTTTTTTCTACTTTGGTTTATTTCTAAATATATAATAAAACATCTCCTTGCCCCCAGAAGTACATTCCTTAACTTAACTGTCAAGACTGGTCACAGGTCTGCTTTGCCAACTTGCCCAGATGCCAAGTACAGAGGGATGAGAGAAAACATCCAACACGGGCATGAAGTGGCCTCCCCTCCCCTCTAAGCGTTCACACTGGCTCAGCACCATTCAATGCCCTTAAACTTGTTTGATGTGATGTCAGAAGGACAATGGCTGACTTGTGAGGATTATATAAAGACATCACAGAACACCTGTTTTCTTCAAAACCATTAGGGTTTACAACCACTTGGGAGTCAGAGAATGCAAAACCCCAAACCCTGCAAGTAACCTGAAACAGAAAGCCAGATGTGTGTTGCCAAGTGATGCTCAGGTCAGAACTCTGTGGCAGAGCATCCTCCCAGACTCCAGGATCACCCTGCGCACACTAAGAGCTCATCCTGCCCTCTGAGGGAAGGTGACAATCCCTAAGTGGAGGCACAATTATCTAAAAAAAGATAATAATAATAATAATGCTCACAGTGATCAATCTTCCTCTGCAGCTGAGGCTGAAGCAAGGCACAGCTTCCCAATAAAACTTTTTTCTGAGGTGTAGGGACCCATTTGTGTCATCAGAAGAAAATGACCCCTGCAGTTCTTCCCTGTTATTTACTACACTTTTAAGAAGTCCCAGCGAGCAGATTACTTAGTAGCCACATTTCGGGGATATCTTAGCCACTTACTAAAACAGCTGAATTAAGATATAACTTATCCCACAGAAAAATCTTGGCTACTACTCTGTGAAAAGCCACAAAATCTATCTGTAACGTTTTAATGCGAAAGTCCAGTCCAAGGATTAAATCAGGACTTGACTGTCACTCCTCTCTGTCACCTGACTTGCTGGGTGGGCCTGGAAGACTAAGTCAAATATCCTCCTGCACCATAAACCATGCCTGGTATGATTCCTGTTCTGTAAGCAAAGTAAAGATCAGATCAGTGTTGTGGGGTTGCTTCCACCACATCACTGTTTGTTCGTGTAGATCCGTTTTACTGAAAGGATGACCTCACTTCATTCAGTAAGTGGTGAATGAGTTCCCCAAATCAGGCAGAAGATTAGATAACAACAATAAAATGGTACTTAATATTTATTAAGTAACTTCTGTACTAAACAATGTTACTTACTTAATAAACACGCAACCAAGAACCAGGTGCCATTATCTGTTTTACAGATGAGGAAACTGAGGCACACTGCATTAAACAATTACAACAGCAGATGTTCAGACTGTGGCCTGACCTCAGAACTCCATTAAGACTGGAGCAGCAGGAACTGGCCTGGATTTTAGTCCGGGTTCCACTGCAAACCAATTCTGAAAGCACATTTAAATCATTTTATTTCTCTGAATCCTAGGGAGTTATACTATATCTCTCTCAGGTTTCTCCTAACATCAAAAGTAGGATAAAGTTAGTCCTCCTCTGGCTTAATGATGGGATAGGATTTTAGTTTTATTTAAATAGTTTGTCTCTGAATTAAATTTTTGTGCCTTTAAGAAAGTAAAGCTTTCCCTGGTAACATCAGAGAATCTTTCTAAATAGATCTTAAAATTCCTTTGTGCTTTGCAGCAAAAAAACCATGAAACTGATCTCCTCTCCCCTAAAGTATTCTCCTCATGAATTCTTTGCCAAAGGAGGGATACAAAATACACACACGCACGCATGCACACTATGAGCTGGCATGCATGTACTTAAGTAGACATACCGCTAAAGTGACCTGTATATAAGCCTTATGGTCATAACCTAGCAGATAAATTTCTTAATTCTAGCTGCAGACATCCTTCCTCTTCTCTATTAAAAACAACCATCTTTCAGTAACTCCAGTATGAGAATGAAGATGAAGGAATTTGGGAGAATGAACCCATGACAAATAATAAAATCCCTCTAAGGCAGGGACTGATAAAAACAAACCAAAAAAACCCCATCCGTATGCCCCCTCTGGCTTGACTCTCAGATGTTACATCTGCCCTCTCTCTACGCCTGTGTAAAAGAACAGAAAGCCTGGCCTATCTATTAAATGCAAATCTTTCCAATTAAAAGAAAAATTCCTTTCTTCAGTGTTCCTCTACAACTGCCTTTCCCCAAACTGTCTTCCTCTAGATTATGTTTAATCCTGACAAAAATCAGTCAAAAAATGAAGAGGAATCCCTGTCATTTTCTAAGAAAAGCGGGCACCATGATTCTTACTGAATATTAACAGGTAATCAGGACACCACAAACAAAAGCCTCACTGAGTTATGTGGGCTGTTCTAAACCTCAGTCCATTCTTACATTACTGCCAATGCTCGGGTCTTCCCCATTCAACAGCTAATGGATTGCTCAGACTGTCAGAACTCTGAAATGCTAGAGCTGGAATGACATGCTTTTAAAACTGAAGTACTCCAAGACTTCAGTTTTTGAAGTTAATCAGTTTTTCACCTAAGAAAAATGACCACCCAAGGTTGGGATATTGCTGCACATCCCCTGATCCTAATAGCCTACACCAGTGGTGCCCAATACCACTGTGTACGTCCTACTGAAGAGGCTGGGGAGTCTGCCTGACCCCTCTAGGGAGGGCTTAGGGCCACTTCTGTCTTCCAGACATCTTCCCTGAACGGGGGTGACTGAGGGGGTGCGCACCACCAGCTGACTGACGGGGAGTGGGGCCGGGGGGCGAGGGAAAGCAAGCCTCCATGCGTGTGCCTGCCCTCACCCGCCAGCGCTGCTTACCACGGGGCACGCCTTGGATGTTCTCTCTATAAGAAAAATTTGCCCCTTTCCACGGCGGATCTCTGCTCACCTTTGTCCTAAAACTGTGCCACATGCTTTTCTTTGTATGTGGACATGACAGTCCTCAGCCAACCATCAGCAGGATGTGAGTTTTGTTTTCCCAATGTGGTGAGCCATTCCCACATTCACTGGCAAGAACCGAACCTCCATGGCTGGTCAGGATTAGGGATGTTGCTGTAGCCAAGGAAAAATTTTCATCTGTTGAAGTTAACCCATGGGGTGGCTTGAACCCTGAAACTAGGGTCAAAAGCAATGTACTTTAAGGGCACAGCCCTTAAATCTACCCTGAAAGAAACGGCATTCAGTGAATAGGAATCAAAACAGCTCTTTCAAAGCACTCAGTGCTGGTCCTGTGCTTCAGCCAGTCTGTGTTATGAGGTGCAAAAGGGGCATACTGACAGGACTGTAGTAAAAAACAGTAATTCTTGCTCTCTGCATAAAGTGCTGGGAAAACTGCAGAAAGGCACTTCTGCAGCCAACTCTCTAGTGCTCA